TTTAGATGGGGATTCATCATAGTCTGAGAAAAGCTGGATTGACCCTTTGCCCTCTCATTATTCCCCTTGCAAGAAATTGTCACCACAAGTCCATCATCTTCGAAATCATAGTCCTGATTTTCACATATATTACATATTTGAATTGAGAATAAAGAGAATTTTCTATATAGAGAGACTGATACAAAAACTTACATCATTCATACACCTAGTGAAAATTTTCTCAAATAAATCGTTATAGCTAGAACCTCTTGATGAAGCCATGGCTGCTTAAAATTAATTTGAGACTTAAGAAGAAAGGTTGAGTGATAGAATGGGAAAAATCAATAATGCAAGAGTTCTATTTATAGCTCTCATTTGCAATCTAAATTATGGTTATTAAATCTAATAATTATTAGAAAAGTTGACTCACTTACCAAATTTTCATAAGATGTATTGTTATAATTAATGTCATTTCACTAATACATATATATATATATATATAGTCAAAATTGTTTTCTGGAAGCATGATTACATGCATCATAAGATGTATTGCTATAATTGAAAAAATACATATTTTGTTAAAATTGTTTTCTAGAAGCAACTAATTATGGATTATAAGTTGTTAATGATTACAGTCAAAGTGGTAAGAAAATTTGAATATTCAAATTATTTTAATATATAATAATAATAATAATAATAATAATATTAAATAAAAAATTGGTTAAGGAATAATATAAAAAAAAGTAATGTTATCCATGGTATAGCATTGATTCTTAGCTAGTTATTATTTTTTTACTTAGAGTTTAACTTTGGTACATTGTCAATTTACAACATTTTAATTTCAATACTATCAGGTTATTTCAAGGTCAATATATTACTTTTCTTATAAAATTATAATTTATTACCGGAAAAATTGTAAATGAAATTGAATTCTAATTATAAGTAAACCCAAAAAAATAATTATTTTCAACAATTTTTATTAAAATATGATGTTTTTACGAAGTTCATCCTAGTAAAGTAATTATTCGATCAACACTTAATTACTTCATAACTGAAATATGTTATTTATTAAGTAAAAGTTATTTTCTCTCAACATCATGATAAATCAACCACTTCAAGTAATTCTTCTATCCTCAATATGAATATTTAAATAAGTAATTCATCGTCTCAAAAATCTAATCATATATGAAGCTTTGATATATTGATCAAACTAAGTCATTATTTAAAACAATTAATCAAAATAGTAAATTTTTAAATTTTTTTACAAAATTAGTATAAACGTATTCCACAGTAATATTTTAGGGTATATATTATTTTTTAAGAATTCAAATGTGTGCTGACGGCGTTAAGTTGAGAAACGTTACTTTGAGTAACGTTTTAAGCTAAAAACATTACTCACAGTAAAGTTTTATGCTGAAAATGTTTCTTTGAGTAACGAATTTTTATACGCTACTTTGAGTCACGTTTTACTCCTAAAACGTTAATCACAATAACGTTTCTTAAGAATCCAATCCTGCAACTTTAGAATCAAATCCTGTAAAAATAGCTATAGAATGTTATATGTTTTATCTTTAAAACGTGATTGTATATTTGGAGCGGACACATCTAATCTAATATACCTATAAATTTCAATTGATTGGAGTTGTCTGCATTTTTTCTTTGATAAGTCATTGCTATTAAAGTCTACCTAGTCTAGATATGTTGCATATATTTTATCATTCAGATGCCAAAAATTGTTTCCTGCATTAGCTCAAAGTGTATTAAAATTCTAATAGTTACTAGTATTCCACGAATTACGTCATTTTTATTTAATTAGTGGATGTGAAAATTGGCTCTGTTTACAAACCACACATAGATTATATATGTGCAATAGTTATATAATTTTCCATTTAGTACCACATGTAGCTAAGTTAAAAATCAAGACATTGTTCTATAACTATCTTAATTTTTTAAAATGGATTGTTTGACGAGAGTTCTATATTAAGTTCTAATTTATGCAGAAACGAGTTACTGACGCTGCACTAAAAGCTAATACAACTTTGTTTGGATGTGAGCACATGTCATATTATTTTGAGAGCTACAAAGTGGTCGCTGATATTTTTTGTCTATATATTTTTGTTGTTTGGAGGGAGTTGAGTTGAGTTGGTTGCTTCTTATGTATTTGGCACTCTTAATCATGCAACACATTTTTCTTCTCGATCGAACTTTTGGAAACAACCAACTCTATACCTCCAATTAGGTAGGGGTACACTCTCAGTTCACAGCTCTGCGGTAGAGCTTAACTCCTTGTTTCCAACATTACCAAGCTTGATCATTGAAGCAACAAATTCTTTGAAGAACGTAGCTTGATCATTGGTAAATGCCTTAACAATCGATCAAATCCTGTAGTCATTCAACAAACTCTCTGATGCAAAAACATCTTTGAGATGATTGTTCGAAATGTCTCATGGAGACTTGCAATTCTGTAATTTTCTATTTTGTATCCAAGTTTACTCAACCAAATGGCCTTATTGCGGGATTCGATGACCTATGATTGGATTCTTAAGAAACGTTATTAGGAGTAAAGAATAAAAAGTGACTCAAAGTAACATATTATAAAACGTTACTTACAGTAACGTTTTTCAACTTAACACCGTCAGCACACATTTGAATTTTTAAAAAATAAAATATACCCTAAAATGTTACTGTAAAATACATTTATACTAATTTTGTAAAAAAATTAAAAATATACTATTTTGATAAATTGCCAACAAAATCACTACATTCTTAGCGATTTTACCATTTTAATTAAAAAAATAATTCACATATCCTTTTGAAATTTTTGTTAATATTTTTCACCCTTTAAGCTCCGGACTCAATTACTAACATATAAAAGCTAAGGGATGAACGTATGCTTTTATTTTTGCAAGGGATGAACGTATACACATACTTAAATATTGTGATTGCTTAGATTAACTCTCTGGAAGAGAAATTAACTTTTTAATTAATGATTAATGATAATGAATATGATAGTCAAAAACACATAGTTTCTCAAAAGGACATGTAAACAAAAAAAAAGTATTACAAGTAAAGTAGCCCGACAATACAATTTATATTTGGCAGGTTACGATAAGTGGAAGAATTTTCACCTTTGTCATCACAACTCGCCTGTATTTGAGGTTACAAACGAGAGATGATGAATAATTTGTACGTATATATAATTTTAAGGTATACATTTAGTCGTAATATATATAGAGAGAGAATATAATTTTATACATGACGTTATATAAATATATAATACACGATGACATGTAGTATTTATACAACACTAGTCTTTACTAAAATATTTTAGTTAAAGTAGATAATCAAATTAAAATTGTTCATCCATAGCTAACACAGCAGCCTCTGTTCATGGCTGATTTTTGTTGTTGTTACTAACGCTTTCACCTGATATTTGATCAGATGATCCTTCACCAGCCATTAGATTTGGTGAACAAGTGTGTACACTCCATCATCAATACCCGCATTGTTCTTCATACTTAAAAACAAAGAAAAATTAAGGAAGCTATATAACTTTATTGATGCATAGTGACGTTTTAATTTGACTGAACATAAAATTTATATTATAACAAAGAAAGAAGATCTTAAAATATTCATGTTATGTGTAATTAAGGTATTAAAAATTTAATACATTTCTTTCTACATAATTAGCTACAAAAGCTTACATTGTTGTTCCTAATTGAAGCATTGTTGCTAGATCGTGCTGGTGAGGCCATGCCTACTTAATCAATTTGAAAGAATAAGCAAGATTAGTATCGTTAAATGAGTGATGAGATGAAAAAACTCAGTAATGTAAGAGTCGTAGTTCTCATTTGTCATCTTAGGTATGGTCATTTGTAATAAAAAGTCAACTCACTTGCCAAATATTCATTAAGATATACTCGCCTATACAATTATTTAACTAAATATACATTTATAAATTTTGTTATCTGTTAAGATTGCTTTCCGAAAGAAATTAATTAAGAATTTATTACATTAATGAAAACACACTAAATTGAGAATGATTGTTTAAGTTTTCTTTAATAACAATAACAATCAATTAGTATATGACAATTCAAAAATATTATTAGGGTTAATTATATTAATCATTTCTATCAACTTCGATCCACATTTGAGCTCATTTCATTTCCCTATTTAATAATTATTTATATATATTGTTATAAAAAGTAGAAAGCCTTAAAGAAAAAAATTAAGATACGAAAATAGAAAATCATTTTCATATTTTAGTGTACTTGTTGTAAATGTACCTTTCATTAAATTACAAATTACTTTATATATTATTGTATAGGGAAAATGTTGAGAATTATTTCAATCTACTAATAGTTATTGTAAGCATATTTTTCCTAATATTATCGTGTTTACAAGCCTTGCCACATTCTGTTTTTGTTTGTTTTGCTCAGCTTCCACGACAGCGATGTTTTTACATCGTCTATTCACATTCTTCATGGATTTATGTAAATTGCACAAGAAAATGTCTACTCAATTTAACATATTATCCTATTTTTCTTTTTTCTCATAAAAAGCCATTGCTTTTTCATTTGATGCATGTCATTCGGCACCAATTAAATCTCCAAAAAATATGGTACTAGTGATGATTTCATAGTTAAATAATAAAAAAAAGTGAAATATTTTCAACGGATTAAAAAAGCAATGCAAAACCTGATAGATATACAGTATGAAAAATCCAATTATTTTACTCCATGAAATGTTTAACAAATAGATTAGCTTGTGACATGCATAACCTTTTCGTTATTGAGAATCTTACAATATGGTATGTTGGTTTTCGAAGATAGCCCACGAAATCTGTTGTCTACAAAAGACATTACAATTCAGTCTCACCCCAACAGCTGTAGAGACAACTCTTTCAAAGTTTAGTGCATCTTCTATGAAACTGACTAAACTAGATTCTTGTATGCTCATTCTTCCTTACAAGCAATTTCCATATTCTAAACGAAATAAATCGTCAAACTCAAACAAGAGGCAAGAACAACACATCATAATATAGCACACAAAAAACTTGGTGCGCAACTGATCAAGCAAAATACAGGCAGCTACAGCTGAATTAACTAAGCATCAAGAAAATCCATTTAGCCTAGCATATCAAAAGAGAGATGCTAGACACAAGTGAAGTACAAATTATAATTATACCAAACAATTTATGGGACCAATTTTAACATCGTATGTACAAGGGACCAAGCAACATGTTCTTCCATCAATTTCCTTTCTTTTTTTGGGTCCAAGGGAAAAAGAGAATGGAAGACAACAGCTGAGAGTCCTTCCAAAAATAAACTCCAAAACAAATATTTCCAACTAAAAGTTAAGGCTCCTTCCTATTAAGATTTGACGCTTGCCATGTCCAAATTATCAGAGACTTCATCCTGTCCCCATCAGAAGCTACTCATATGAAAGAGTGATAAAACATTACTGTCCAAGATTTCCAAGAAGTCTCTCTACTGCGGCATGAACATTGCCTGCAGTAGCAACCAATGCTCTGATATTTTCTTGAGTATCAAAGAAACCCATATCTTGCAACTGTGCTAGCTGAGTCGCATATAATTCCTCCGGAGGCACTACAGCAAGACATCAACATTAAAAAGGTGAGCAAGTAAAACTTAAGAGAGCTTGACTAAATAAAGAGGAGAAAATTAACCATTGGATCTGTTGGGGACACCACCCAAACCCCCTGACCCAAGTCCACCAAACATATTCATCAGCATTTCCATTCCCATGTTGTTGTCAGGGGCTGCAATTATTAAAAGAACCGTAATGATGTGAGTCAAACTAAAACTAAACAGCAGTATGCAAAAATAGCATTGTACTTGTCCTCCTCCACTATACTATCAAGAAGACAGAAAAAGAATCAACCTTACCATACATTCCCCTATATGGAGGATATAAAGGATGGATGGTACTGACGCAACTGTATCTCAATATAGCTACATTTCACAACTCAGCATTTCAATAAAGGGATGCTGACGGATGTCACTGAAGCTGAGTATATCTTAGTACAACTAGATTTCATATGTGTGTCAAAAGTGGAACTACTATCAACATGCTGTTTCATCTAAAAAGTAGCAGAAACTAATGAATGCATTCAATTTCAGATTCCATATCTAGCCACCTAGACAAACAAATTGGAGGGCACTAAGTCATCTTGAAAGGCAATTATCAGATCACATGACAGGAATGTACTGAGAAACTAAACCACTCCATTAGTTTCAATCCCTACAACATCCATATCCTTGTGTCCCCACCACGCCAACACCTTTTACCAGCATCCCCAACCTATACAACCACCCCCAATAGATTTCCGTTAAAATCATCACCTCAACATGGTGGCAACCCTTAACGTAGCATCAAGACTCCTCACATGAGAAATCTATTGATGGATAGAAAATGGATTTAGACAGTTAGTTTTGGAATCGAATCATATTTGGTGCAGCCATGATGTTCCTTCTGATATAAATCAGCTAGGTATCATCTCAAAAAATAATAATTTTGTGTAGGCTCTTGACTTTTTGTATATAGACTTAAATCCCACAACATCTGGTTTATTATTGACTTACCTACGAATCAATCACGACCGATAAAATAACAACGAATTTCTGCCTAAGAAATAAAGGTTCAAATAGTTAATACTAGACCCTTCTCACAACTACTACTACTACACCTAAGCACACTCCCAACCAAGTTGGGGGTGCACACGCAATGAGTCCTAATTTCTCTAATTAATAATAATACTTGTAGTAGTATAACAAGACTAAAACTCAACTAGAAGATATCACCTATACGGATCTTTTCTTCTTGTGTCGTGTATTTATCCAAGTCTGCAATGAGTCAAAAAAATTGCAGGTCTCTCGCAACTTTTTCACGTGAGTTTAGGTCTACACCATCCTCTTTCAAAATTCCAGTCAACATAATTTGACCGCTGCATCTCTAGGTTGACGCAGGCCATGACCATACCATCCCAAGCGATACAATTCCAATTGCCATTACAACAGTACTTAGTAGTTTTGGAATTAAAAGATAAATTGGGCTGGTAATTATTTCAAAAACTTCAGCAGAACCAGGAACGGAGAAATGCTTTCCCCCCTATCCGCCCAACTTTTGGTCTTAAGAGTGTTGGTTTTTAATTTGAAACTCCGGTAAGTGCTTTTTAAACATATGTATAAAAAAAAATTATTTAATTTAGCCCCTTCATGCTTACAATAATTAGCTATTTCGACATCTTTATTTTTTCTTGATTTTGTGTGAAAGGATGCCATTATTCTCAGGACCTGATCTGGTCAGTACCCAGCCACCACAGACTATGAGGGGGGAGTCGTTCAGTGTGAGGTATAATAACCCCGGAATAAAATGTATGATTATTTTATTCTGCATCTGGTTCTAGTCCTTGGAGTATTTCTACCACATTTGTGCCATAGTGATGGGATAAGTTATCTAATGTAACTTATCCCGGGATAACTTGTTCCCAACCAAACGACCCCGAGTGTAATACTAAAAATAAATATTCAATCAACCTTCTCGCGTTTTATCCTCAATGTGTGCTACCCCAAACCTTCTGGAGAATGTGTCATCTCTAAACTAAACCAATCTTTGTATGACTACACATCCATTTTAGTATCTGCATGATTGCGACACTCATCTGAGGATATGTTGAACTTTAGCGGCGCAACATTCACAGTAGAACTTACTTTTCACTTTGATAAACATCCTTCCATCACCATAACTACTAGACCATTTTTGGACAAAAATTTATCGTCTTGAACAAGCTTCAAAAACAACGGCAACGGAAATATATTGGCTCTTAGATAAGATTATAACACGACTACTTATTGAAGTTACCTACACACTCCACTGATAACATTGCATTTAGGGGTTTGGAATTGAGGTATTCGAGGGCATAAAATTTACCTGCACCTCCCACATTCTGACCCGGTCTGCAAGAGGGAAAAAGAACATCATCTCAGCATGGAGCCAGAAATACCATAAAGTTATCCAAAATGATCCAACAACCATAAAGAAGATCTGAAACATGAAAAAGTCAAGCATGCCCTTCTTCCTTCCTAATTTAAGAATCGAGATGGTCTCTACTAATTGAAAATTGAAATCTGACAATATGTCTGAACAATTTCATTGCAAGTGTACAAGAAATGCTGACTAATGGGAAATAAGAAAGATATGCAAAAGTTGTAACATAAATCAT